TGACCAGCGGCACTTGCATGAGTCAACACATTTAGCCACGGAGGCTAACACCAAGATTCAAGAGCTCAGTTGTTCTGGATTGTCGGAGCTTGACAGCTACATGGCATCTTTTTCGTTGTATCGCCACCAGATGAGTTCCGGCGAGCATAAGCTCACCAATGCTGGGGGCATTGCGCTTCTCAAGCGCAAGCTCAAAGATATCAAAGAAATGGATGCCACTTTTGCCGTTTTCAATGCCAGCAATTCTGTGGATCTAGACGCCTTGATATATGCCATCAACGGTTTGGTTGCGCATCACTCTGAGGAGATTGAGAGGCGAAAAGCACAGAAAAAGGCTGCTGCGGCCAAGGTCGCTGCTGCCGCGGCAGCGGGCGGCAAATCACAGGGAGGCAAAGGCAAGAGCAAAAACAAGAAAGGCAATGACAAGCTGTGTGATCATTGTCACAAGCCCGGACACACAGCACAAAAGTGCTGGTTGAATCCAAAGAGTTCCGCGTACAGACCGGACTTCGCGGCGAAGATCAATGCTTCTTCGTCAAGCGGTGGGGCATCTGCGCCGCCTGGATTGGGGGCAGCGTCCATGGGCGCTCGGCCTGGGCCTGCAGTTCCGGCAGATGTCCTCACCAAAGCGTTTTCGGAGTTTCTCACCAAACGTTTCGGTGGCTCCGCGTGGCTTGCCGATGTCAAGCCGGACGATCTTCAACAATTTGCGGGTGCGGCATGGGCTCTGGATTCGGGAGCCAGCCAGTTCTGCATCATGGGCGACAATGCCGATGATGCCGTTTGGGAGACAATGCAAAGTGCAGACTGCGATATCGACACAGGCGCTGGCACGGCTCGGCCAAAAGCTATGGTGGACGCCATGGTTCCGCATCTCGGGCGTCGCTCGGCCATGGTGATGCCGGACTCTAAAATCAACATGGCGTCGATGGGCGAAACTTGCGCCGAGCTGGGGTATCATTTCTACTGGCCCGCATGGTCTGAGCAGCCACATTGCATCTACATACCAGCTATCGTGCATGTGCCATGGCCCCTCTCTCACCCAGCCGTTTCCTGTGCTGGCTGGCGTGGTTGCTCCGGGCAGCCCGGCCCCTCAGCGGACATGAAGCAGGCCCTGCTAAGCCTTGGCATCCCCTGAACCGCCGCCAGCGACAGGAAAGGACGCGGTTCTTCAACCACGCCTGGTCAGACCCTTCGCCTGTCGAGACTGCGCCCTGGCTGGGCTTATGGAGGCCCGGGGAGGCTCGCATGCGACATCGGCGGCATAGACGGCTTTTCCCTCGACATCCTTTGAAGCCTTCACTGTGTGGCACTTGGCGCGGCTGGCCCAATCGGGGGCGCCGCATCGGAGAGGCCTCCAACCCTGGGCCCGTGGCCCCTGGCACCCCCGTTGGCGGCGAGCGGCCCCGACGACGCCAACGCGATGACCCTGACAGCATGGACGTGGAAGCTGCCCAAGGGCCTACTGCGGCCGGCACACGTGTCTACTGCCCAGTGCCTACTTGCCCGTGCCATGATCCTCGGCGTGCGCGGGGATGGGCCAGCGATGCTTCCATGAAGGCGCACATCGATGCGCACCTGGCTGGGTCTCTGCAGGGGGATGTTCCGGAGGCTTGGCTGCAAGGACGAAGTCGCCAACGCTGCATGGTCTGCGGTCTCAGCGTGTCCGTTCAGCATGGTGTACACCCTTCGTGCCGCCCGGCTGCTCGTGCTGCCATGGCCAGCCCAGTGGAGGCCCTGCACGGGGACGGCATCCAGCTTCCGAGCTTTCAAGACATTATCGCTGGGTGCACCCCTACCCTGCGACACGTGCCCGGGCGAGCTCGACACCTGTGGGCGCGGGCCTTGACCCGTGCACTCGCTGCTGTCGTTCATCGCAATGACGAAACGTCGTGGCGTGAGCTTCTTATGCTCCCCCAGTCAGTCTTGGATCCGCCACGCCGCGGGGGCAAGCAACACGCCAAGGCTGCAGCTGCCTACACGCTGGACAGGCTCAAGCGATGGGAGGATGGTGAACGGTTGCTCCTTTGGCAAACTCGCCAACAACCGCAGCGAGGGCGCCGCCGCCCGCTCAGCAAGACTCAGCGGCAGGACCTCGCCACTAGCCTCGCTAGAGAAGGTTTCGAGGGCAAGGCCTGTGCTGCCCTTCTGTCCACGGGGCTTGCACCGGAGGACCCGGAGACCACCGCTGCTATTCGAGCCCTTCATCCTGTGCATGCTAGCCCCGCGGTGCCAGCCATGCACCAACTGCCTCCTGCACCTGAGTTGGTGCCTGACGTCGTGGCTAAAGCTTTGCGCAGCTTCAACGCGGCCTCTGCGCCTGGGCCTTCTGGTCTCCGTGTTCAACACCTTCGTGATGCCTGTGCCCCGGGCTCTTCGGCAGCCCTGCTTGAGCAACTCACTGCCGTGCTCAACCTCCTTGCCCAAGGGCAAGCCTGTCCGACTGCAGCGGCTACCTTGGCGGGCGCTGGCTTGGTGGCAATTCCGAAGCCTCATGGTGGAGTCCGGCCTATCGCAATTGGAGAAGTTCTCCGTCGCCTGACGGGCAAGTGCTTGATGCACCACGTCCGCAACGCGGCACGGGAGCACTTCTTCCCGGCTCAGCTCGGGGTCGCAGTTCCGGCTGGAGCGGAGGTCGCCGTCCACTCCGTGCGCGCCTGGATGGACAGACACGCGGCTGGCCGCAAAATCTTGCTAAAGCTTGACTTTGAAAACGCATTCAACTGCATCAAGCGGGAGGCCGTCTTCGCTGCTGCCAGAGACCACTTTCCTGCACTGTCCCGCTGGGTTGCTTGGACGTACGGCCAACCCACTCACCTCCGGTTTGGTGAAACCTTGCTCACGTCGTCCGCTGGGGTGCAACAAGGCGATCCTCTTGGACCGCTACTTTTTGCGGCTGCCATCCAGCCCCTGGTGCTGGAACTCAGAGCTGGCCTGGACCTCGACCTCTTCTACCTCGATGACGGGGTGCTGGCTGGTGATGTGCCGGCCGTCGCGGCTGCGTTGGTGCAGACACAGCGCCGGGCGGCCGCACTAGGCCTGCGTTTAAACCTGAAGAAGTGCGAGGTGGTTGCAACTGGAGACGTTGCGGCCGGTGACTTGGTGGGACACTTACCTGACGCCCTCCTCCGCCGGGCAGACGGAAGCAGCAGACTTCTTCGCAACTTTGAGCTTTTGGGGGCTCCGATAGGCGACCTGGCCTCCACTGCGGCGCACATCTCCTCCCGCGTTGCTGGTGCGCGGACCTTGCTGGACGCAGTTGGGGAGCTTGAAGACCCGCAGGTTGGGCTTAGGCTGCTTCGCGCCTGTGCAGGCCATTGCCGCCTCGTGCACAGCATGCGGTGCGCTCCACCCCAAGCTCAAGCTGAGGCTTTTCAAGAGTTTGACCGGCTTGTTCAGGCTTGCTTTGCCAGCCTGACGGGCCTCCACCTTGATGCTGCGCAGTGGGAACAGGCGGGCCTCAACTTTGCCCAGGCTGGCCTTGGTTTGCGCTCCACAGCGTTGGATGCGCCTGCAGCTTACTTGGCTTCCGTCGGTGGCTCTGCTCAGCTCTGCAGCCGGGTTGATGCCGAGTTCTGTCTTGGTGCAGTGCCAGGACGAGTGGACGTGCAGCAGGCTCTGGCGGACCTCAACCAGCATGCTGCTGGCCCTCTTACAGCTTCGACCGCCCTCATGCTGAAGCAGAAGGCCCTCACTGCTGGTCTGGATGAGTTCCGCTGGCAGCGTCGCCTGGCCAACTGCCACCTCGCCGCTCAGGCGGTGTTACGGTCGGAGGCTGAACCTGGGGCCCGGGCCTTCCTCGCCGCCACCCCCCATGGGCGCAGGCGAATGGAGCCCGCTGCATTTGTAGCCGAGCTTCGACAGCGCCTGTGCATGCCGGATGCTACACAGGACGAATGGTGCCCGCGATGTGACTGCATCCTGGACAAGTTCTCCTACCACGCTGGCCTTTGCTCTGCTGGAGGTGAGCGGACCCTGAGACACAATGCACTCCGTGACCTCCTGTGCACCTGGGTCGATCGAGCCGGTCTCCACCCCGAGCGTGAAAAGCCGCAGGTGCTACTACCCCAACGCCCGGAAGACCATGGGTTGGATCGCCGGCGCCCTGCAGACATCTTCGTGCCTTCTTACCTTGGCGCTCCCGTTGCATTTGATCTGGCCGTGACCGGCCCCCAGCGACTGGAGACCTTGGCAGAAGCCTCACGGAAGAGCCTCGCTGCAGCGACCGCCTATGTCGCTGTGAAGAAGGCTCACCTGGACACCGCTGCGACCTGCCAGGCACAGGGTGTCAGATTTCTGCCCCTCGTGGCCGAAACAACCGGGGCGTGGGAAGCTGAAGCGGCCAAAGTCTTGACTCAGATCTCTCGAGCTGCAGCCGCCCGCGAAGGTGCAGATCCGGCAGCTCTGCATGGTGAACTCCTTCAGGAACTCTGCGTCGTCGCTCGCAGCTTCCGCGCCAGGGCGGTGTTGCATAGGAGAGCTGAGTTGGCCGCCGCGTCTGCGCCCGGGGCGGCACAGTCCGCTGCAGCCTGCTTGCTCGCGACTGACAGCTGAGCTTTCTTCTGCGGGTCATAGTGAGCTCACGATGCGTCGGATGTCTGCTGGCGCCGCTTGAGACCGACGCGGTAGCCTGAGTCTCAAGCGACTAGGCCACGAGATTCAATCCGAACTCGACCGTCGGAATGCTGTGACTTTGTGCTTCAGCTGGAACTGCAGGTCGGATCAGTCGGTCGGAATGGCCATGCCAGTCTTGCAAGTAAAGACGCTCCTAAGAAGCGTTATGCCTGCAAGCGCTTCCACCGCATCGATTGTACAGTAGTAGCCGTACAGTACCCTGTATACTCCCTATTTCGCAAAGCAGGCAGCTGCTTGCGTTTTGTTGTAGCCAAGAGTCAACTTTTCAGTTGGCACGGTCTCTGGTTCAGCGGTCAGACCTGTGATGACCCTGAGTGCAGCCACATTTCTGGCGCGACGGTGTTTCCAGCGAGGTGCCGCTCACCATGGTCAATCGCGTCCCGTTTCTATTGAGCGCAGTCGATGCTGGTCCGGCAAGCTTGATTGAGGCTGCAAGCGACACAGACTTGAACGATTTCTTCGCTCAGATGTTTCGGGAGTTTTGCTTGACGCTTGGTGAGACAGAGCTCGCTAACCTTTCGGTTCCCCTTGCATTGGCGACGCAGTCGCAGCCTGCGGATCAACATTGCTTGGCTCACTACCCGAAGGACCCCACCTGCGAAGTGTGCTTGCAAGCAAAAATGTGTCGAGCTCCAGCGGCTCGCAAAAAGCAAGCTGTCGAAGATGACAAGCAGACAGCTCGAGTTCACGGGGAACGCATTCACTGTGATCTTGTCGGCCCTACACGCCCCAGCATCAATGACGAGGTGTATGCCATGATTACGCATGATGATGCAACGGGGTACCCGGCAGCACGTGCTTTGCGCACCAAGCAGGCTTCCGAAGCCGCTGCCGCTTTCGACGACATGTATGGGAACCAGTCAGTGTCTTCAGTCCGGACGGACAATGGTGGCGAGTTCCAGGGCGAGTTCGCCGCCAAACTCAAGGAACGGAAAATCAGACACGAACGTTCCTTGCCACGTCGACCTCAGACAAATTCCCGTGCTGAGCGATTCCACCGCACAGTTGCGGAAGGCATGGCTTGCCTTTTTGTTGCATCTGGAGTCCCGTATGCTTTCTGGACGTTCTGTCTCATGGCCTTCCTCTTTGTGTATGCTCGCAGCCCGGGCGCAGGTGGTGCTGACTCACCCTACCAGATGCGCTTCAATCGTTCTTATGATTTGAGCAAGTTGCGTCCATTCGGCTCTGCGTGCTACTACCTGTCAGAGGAACATGAGAAGTTTGCATCTCGTGGACGGCTTGGTGTGGTGTTGGGGTATAGCCGCTTGCAGTCATACTACGTCCTGGATTTCGAACATTACGTCGAGACGAAGGGCGAGGCCCGGATTGTGCACACACGTGATGTGCGCTTCCCCCCTCAGGTGCGCTGGCCTTTTCACGAGCTGGGCATGGACAACCCTGATGCGGCATACTGGGCCCAACGTTTGTTCGAACCGGAGGTGTTGCAACCAACGCCCGTTGCTGGAGATGATGGCCGATGTGTACTTTGCGGCTTGTGGGCCACTGATGCCGACATCCACTGCCGTGGATGTTTGCTTGGCGGTGGTCGTCGTCGGCATGTGGATGGTCCCGGCTGCCTTCGCGCTCGATGTGGTGGTCATGCGTTCCTTGACGTTCAGCCCCCTCCGGACTCGCCGGAGACGAGCATGGACTATTCTCCAAGCACTCCACGCAGCCGTGATGGGGGCGTCATCGACTCCTCCATGGATTCGTCAAGCTCCAGGTTTTCGACGTCGCATGACGCACACGATGATGATGACATGGGCCCACCGCCTGACGATGAAGGCGATGGACGTTGCCATACGGATGCCTCGCCACGCAGGCCGCGCTGGCGAGTGGGCTTGTTCGCTGATGCACAAATGCCTCCCGAACACAATTATGGCCCCCATTTCGATGACAGCATGGATAGTGGCCTAGTGCCGCCTCGCCCCGACTTAGCGCCATCAACTCCGCTGTCAAACCGCGTTGCCGCCGATCTTACATCTTCATCCGGGCGATCTCGGTCCCACCGCGGGTCGCATCCATCGGATGCGGATTCGGAGCGCGCTTCTCAAAGCCCAGATGTTGCGCAGAATCCCGTCTCAAGTTCATCTCCATCCCAGGTTGGATCACACCCATCAGATGCGGATTCGGAGCGATCCAGGCCGGCCTCCAGCAGTCACAATCGGACCAGCACGGAGCTGCGGCCAGACGCCATACACAGTTCGGACGCTGATTCGGAGAGATCGCAGCAACCAACCAATGATCGCGACAATGCAGCTATCTCCTCCACGGTGACGTTTGAAAGCGATCGATCTGGGCTCAGCACAGTTGTCCGTGGTGGGACGGTTCTCACAACGCCTGCAGCACTTAGGCTTGAACAGGAGCTGGACAAGCTGACAACTGAGCTGGGGAAGATGTTCGCTTGCGTCACCAAGATCGTCAAACGAAGAGATCCGGAGTGGGACACAAACGCTGCGCGTGAAGCTATCCGCAAAGAGGCGGCAAACCACGCGTCGAAGCGGACTTGGGAGTCTGAGGCATGTGAATGGGAAACCGCTGTGGCCAAGTACGGCCCTGATGTGGAGTACGTGCAGGCAAACCTCATCTTGGGGATCAAGCATTACGAACTCGATCAATCCCAGCACCGATTCAAAGCTCGCATAGTCGCACTCGGGGACAACGTTCGCGACATTTACGGCCGGCTTGTGGAGGAAGACCAATTGCACGGTCGACCCATCACGCTTGAAGGATCACGGGCGCTAGATTGCTATGCCGGTTTGCAGCCTGACGGCGATTGTCAAACTGCTGATGCTGATGGTGCCTATTTGCAAGCTCGACTCAAAGGTCGTCCGAAGGTGATTTGTTTACCAAGAGAGTTTCGCACACAATCCGAACTGGAGATGCGCTGTCCTGTGCACTTGTTGTACATGGCCATCTATGGGCTGACACGTTCAAACAGCGATTGGGAAGATCATGCTGACGACCGGTTGTTGCTTAAGCATTGGCTGCAAGCTCGTGACATTGAGCGCCCGATTTTCAAGAAGGAATATAACGGGCACATTGTGGGCATGGGCCGTTTCGTCGATGATTTCAAGCTGGCGGGACACAAACCCGTGTTACCACATGCATGGGCTGAGATTTTCGAATGCTTCGATTTCGCGGACCCGCCTCAACCTGTCAGCCGATTTGTAGGCTCCGAGGAGATCTTATCGCGCGACCAAGCGGATGTTGCCACATTTCTAGTGAAGCAGGATGCGTACATCGACACCCTCACGAGAAAGTACATGGATGAGATTGGTGCATACAGACTTCCACGATACGACACTCCGGCTGTGAAGCTCGCGACCAATGATGTTTCAAACATGAGTGAGACAGGTCAGTTTGCATCAAATTGCGGTTCCTACGTAGGGGCTGGATTGTGGGTAGCGAGGAACAGTCGTCCTGAGATCTCATTTGCTGTCGGGTGGTTGGGTCGGTACACCACAAAATGGACAAGAAGACAGGATGCTGCCTTGCATCGTTTGATGGGGTATTTGGCGGCGACTAGGTCCTCCGCACTTAGATTGGTTCTCAATCCTGCCGATGTGCACCAACGCACTCTGAAGCTAGTATTGTGGGTCGATTCTGATTGGGCGACGGATCCCGATACCAGGCGATCGACATCAGGAGCCGTTTTGCAACTTGTTGGGTCGCACGGCACTCGCGCGACATTTGCTTGGCGATCGCATCGTCAAGGAGCTACCGCATTGTCGGCACCAGATGCTGAAGTGACGGCCATGGCTGAAGGTCTCAAGCGCCATGGGATTTATGCACAAGATCTTTTCGAGTTTTTGCTGGGATACCGAGTTCCATTAGACATCATGACCGATTCAGCAACAGGAATTGCAGCAATCGATGACGCATACGGCGTCCTCAAGTACATGAAGCGAACGCAAGGTGTGCCTTTGTCATGGTTGCATGATGTGAGCATGGATCCCGACAACAACATCAACAAAACCAGCACCGACGATAACCTTGCTGATGTCATGACGAAAGCACTGGAGAAGAACAAGTTCCAGCATTTTTCACGGCTCTTGGGAGTTCACCCGCATGGTTGAGCATGACTTTGAACGAGTGATTGACCGTTGATTGAATTTTCATGATCATGCGCATGTATTGCTTGATTTTCCGCATGATTTCACGGTTGATTCTTGATTTCATGGCTGATTTCTTGATTTCCAGTTGTACGAACCTTGCAAGTTTTCTTGGCTGCTGACTCGCTCTGCGAAACCAGTTCTGAGCAGCAACCAACGTACCAGCCGCATGCCATCTGCACTACTGTACAGCCTACAATGCTTGCTGATTTTGGCACTCCCGGCAGTCAGTACACAAGTCTGTGCACTCTGATTCCATTTTCTGCTTGCAGACTTTGGCAGTCTCTGCAGTCAGCACACAAGTCTGTGCACTTTGATGCCATTTTTCCCGCGATGCCATGCTCGGCATGGGGGCGTTGTGTGAGCAGTTTAAGTACTTGCTCACTGAACGTGCCTCGCATGTCACGCAGAGTCACTCTAGAGTGATTGCATCAGACATGACTTTCGCAGACTTGCCTTGGCAATGCCTTGGCTCAAGTGACCGGGTGAAAACATTTGCTCCGTCGAAGCTGTGTGTAGCTGTGCATTGCTTGAGCTGTGAGAGCTTGATGATGGGGGCGTTGTGTGAGCAGTTTAAGTACTTGCTCACTGAACGTGCCTCGCATGTCACGCAGAGTCACTCTAGAGTGATTGCATCAGACATGACTTTCGCAGACTTGCCTTGGCAATGCCTTGGCTCAAGTGACCGGGTGAAAACATTTGCTCCGTCGAAGCTGTGTGTAGCTGTGCATTGCTTGAGCTGTGACCAACATCGTTGACCGCCGCATTGAAGTCATCGCAAATGGACTCCCGCTTTGGGGCGGAGCACAGCTTGCTGTCGACACCACCCTCGTGTCGCCTCTCGATGCCAGTGGAGCTGCGCGCCGGCACCAGCGACAGTACCGTGGCGCCGCCCTGCGCCTTGCCCGCAGGTCCAAGGAACGCACCTACCCCGAGCTACTGCGCTCGCAAAGGTGCAGGCTCGTTGTCCTTGCACTCGAGGTCGGAGGCCGCTGGAGCTCAGAGGCTGCCCAGTTTGTCCGCCTCCTCGCTCGCTGCCGGGCCCGCGCCGTCCCTCGCCCGCTGCGACCTGCAACCATCGCAGCCTTCACCTCCCGATGGTCTGCCTTGCTTGCCTGTTCTGCCGCCAGAGCCTTCGGTGCCAGTCTGCTTGGTCTTTCCCTTGCCGGCACTGCCAATGTCGACGGCGACCAGCCGCTGCTCAGCGAGGTTCTCTCTTCGACTCGCTTCGACGAGACCCCGCCCCTTGCCAGCCGTCTGCCACCGCGCCCTTGACAGCGCCTTGCCGTGCCTGCAAGCCTGGACTTCACGCCCTAGGACGTCGCCTTGGATTTGGGCCTGCTGCACTGGGACCGCGTCGCGGATTGTCGCAAAAAGTGCGCGAAAAAAAACAAAAAAAAACAGGGGTGTGTGTGTGTGTGTGTGTGTGTGCCGGTGTGTGTGTAGTATTGTGTAGTTTAAATAGACGAAAGGTTGCACACTGTAGTCCCGGACGAATATGCGGTCACTAATGGCTGGCTCATGTGGGGCGGGGTAGCGGCGGGGTGCAGGACGCGGTCGATACAACTTTAGTTCCACAGCTAACCAGTGCTTGTAGCGGATGCCGGCTCTTAGGGTCTAGCATTGCAAACTTGGTGGAATCAATCAACAATTGCTGTCGTTGCGCTCGCATTGCTTTTGTCAAGTGCTGGTCGCGATTGGCCCCGCGAGGATGAACACAAAAGGGCATTCCGGGGACAAGCCAATTCCGCCACGACCTGTCGACTTCGTGCCTTCGGGGATCCTCGCCGCGCGGGTTACTCTGATGTACCCGGCCAGCTTTTGCAAAGTTCGATCGTTTGGTGCCCGTTTCCCTTCACCCGCGCTGCAGCTTACGTCCCTGCTGCCACCTGGTGTCGAGCTTGGCTGACGGCTCATTCCAACACATTCCAACACGCCGGGGATTGACCGTGGCATACCGTGCGCCCGGTAGGGTCTCCATTGATTCAATGACAGTATATGCTGCGATCGTTGTATCTACGGCGGGCTGGGCGCTTCTGACATTTTTATCTCTTCTGGAATATGGGTGATGGAGGGAGTCCAGGTCGAGGGCACCTACGTTATCTAAACCCTCAGGGAGGCGGCTGTCGGGGACCGGCCCTCTCCCAAAAGCGGTGCGTCGCCATCGCCTTGCTCCGCACTTACAAAGGGCAGCGGCGAGGCGTACGCGTGTTGTGCCGCCACCGCCAGCAGCCGCGTCCATTTGTGAACAAGCACGAATAAGAGGAGTTAGGAAAGAATAGCAATGAATTCTGGAAATTTGGCTGTTGCATGAATGGTTCAGATGCTGACGTAGCCTGAAAAGCGGGCAGGATTATTAGAGCTTAGTATCGGCGCCGGTTCCACTTGCCACGAAGGCAGGGATGTTTTCATAAAGCGGTTTGTTCCACGCTCAACGGATACATGGTACACCAACGTCATCTGCAGACTTGTTGAAAAGCCGGAGGTGCGAGGGAGATCGGCCTGGCGCGATGATGGGCTTGGGCCTTCGTCCGAATCCTTTGAACACAGGGCTGTGTTTCGGTTCTGGCAAAGCCTTCGGCTTAGACCGGGGTTGGGTGCTCAGCAATTTGTTAAACTTCGGAAGGTGTTTCGCTGATTTTCCGACAGGGTTCATGGAGGCAGCTTCGCAGCTGAGGCTTCCGGGGGTTCGAGTGAACTCTTGGCTTTTCGTTCGATTTTCTGTTCATTGGGTTTTGTTGGGGCACAGCCATGCCTTGCCCGCCAGCTTGCGGGCAGCGCCCCACTGGAGGCTATGATCCCGCTGCTTACCAGCAGCTCTACGCGCAGCAGGCCAACTTAGCATCAGTTTTCGAGGCGAAGCGTGTTTCGCAAAGAAACGAAAGCACAGAAACACATAAACTTATAAATGCATGAACAGGCAAGTACATAGAGAAATAAGCAAAGAAACATGCTTAGATAAAGAGACACATGAGCACACCGAAGAACTAGACAACTACTTAAACAGGAAAACGGACAAATGCATGGATAGATAGATGGAGAATAGATGGACAGATGGATGGACGGACGGACGGACGGAGGGATGGATGGATGGATGGATGGATGGATGCTATGATCCTTTATGCCACCAGTAGAACAATGCAATGCGATGTCATGTGTCATAACATATAACATGTTATGATATAGTGTAGCGTAATAGAATATCACTTTCAACGTAGTAGAAAGTCATGGAAGAGAAGATAAGTTCAAGATAAAAGATAGTATATTCGTTTTATGACATGATGCGATATAGAATAATATGATTTGGTTTTCAAAATAACCGGATATCTCACTCGAGATTTCATGTAGCATGCATCACACAGCAACATGACATCAAATTCATGATCGTATTTCAGAATCTCAGAGTAGAGTATGGGAGCATAAAATGCAACGCAATAATCCAAAATGGCGTAACTGCGGTGCGAGAGGTGGGGATTGGCTTTTTATGTAAGATCATCGAATATACAATCATTGGTTAGAACAGACTACAAATGTATATACATATGTATATGTGTACACACATAGAGACGTATAGATATTGTTGCATCTAGATTTTGTTGGAATTGTATTTGTGTGTATATATGTACACGCAGTATATGTATATACATGTATATGTACACATGCATACATATACATATACGTATACACACACACATATTTACACATAGATAGACATATGTTTATGCGCATACATACACACACACACAACTCTTAGAGGCGATTCACCATTTCAACAGTGGATCTAGGGGAGTGGAACGTTTTCAATCACAAGTTGTCGCGTTTTGCAGCAAATTCGCTGCAAGCATGGCGAGGTTCCGTGTCTCCAGCTATTGACACAGTTTTCCCTTGTTTGAGAGGCCCAGGCCTTCCAGCAGGCAGCGCAGGCATGTTCCGTTTTTTTTTTGTCTGTAGTGACGCTGCTTGCACATTTGGGGCACCTTGCGGCACCGTCGCGGGTGCTACCTGCACACACCCGATATCCCCATTGTGCCAGAGTTGGCTTCGGGTTAAGATGCTTTCAAAAGCAGGCAGAGACAGGTCTTCGGTGCAAGGCTCGAATGATAATCGGTTTTTGCAGCGCTTTAGCTTGAAGAGTGGAGTTGTTGGCTCTGTGCGTTTGCGTCTGCAGTGCTGACCTTTGCGTGTACATCCGCAGATACGGGATCGCACGTAGCAGAAGTTAGATTTAGGAGTTGGGCCTTGCAACTGCCGGGTGCTCAGGCGTGCCTTTCCCCCTGTGTGGTTTAGGGTTCCGTTCGAGTTCCGTTCGAGGATGTGTTTGCTTTATAGCCTTTGGCCACGCAGGATGTAGGGTAGGGTCTGGGTTCAACGACCTACTCCAGGGTAGGATTTGACGGGCTTGCTGTGGATTGGCCCTGAGATTGGCCCTGCTTTTGCACACCGTCACATATGCCGGACACATGCGTGCAAACAGAAGGAGGAAGTCGAAGACTTCAATGAGGGTTTTAAGTTCGCCTGTGTCATTGGAACCTGGAAGTTGGTGAAGGAGGTCAGGCAAAAGCCCATGCGGCTGGAGTCACAAAAGATACGACACGGGTATTGGGGCAAGAGTCATCGGTGCATGCAATAAAGAATGATTCAGTTTCCAGCCGACTGTCCGTAGGCTGCACACACGAAACAGGTCATGCTGTCCATTGTAACGCTCCTCCTCCTTCCCACTGCCCTGGGAGCGGGTGCTGGTGACTATGGGAACTACATCGCAAAATATGGTGACTTCCACAAGCTCCTTGCTTGCAATCTCTGAGTAGTTTCGGGAACTCACTAGGTTTGCGAAGGCTGCAGGTGTGCAGCACGTACGAATTGAGCTTTCCGGGACTTGTGCTGCCCCCTTTCGATTCAGGGTAAACCTTGCTCCTTCTTGTTGCTTTTGTGGCATCAAGGTACATCAGTGACTATGCTGGCAACTATGCAGGCAACTACGCCAGCGACTACGTGCCCTCGCAGGGCCAAGCCTCCGGGAAGTCTCCCCCGGTGAACTTCCTCGCTTCTGAGCCGAAGGACAGCGACAGCTCCGCCTCGGATCACCACGGAGCTACCGGGAACTACCAGAAACTTGGGTGGGCATCGCTTTTGTTGGCTTTCGGGTTTCTGACGTCATCCGTAGAAGATTATATATCAACATCCACAGGGAAGAGTCAACACCAAACGTGAAATATTGAGACCGGCAGGGTCAGTGGGGATGACGGGCAAGAACTGGGCGATCAGCATATTGCAGCAGTCGACAGGACAGGTAGTTGCAATGATCCAGTCTATATGACAGTATGACGGCACGGGTGATGTCAATGAGCAGGTCCAGCAAGAAATGCTCGCTCATTCCTAAGGAAGTATTCCTCGCAGTTTCAGAAGAACCAGGCCTCCGCGTGTTGTTTTGGCATTTGGCACTTGCGCTATCCACTCGGCTGTGCGTAGGTTTGGGGGTTTAGACTTCCAGATGTCTTTCAAGAATCACCAGGGGGACTACGAGACGTACATGGCCCAGTACATGGCGGACTTCCCACAGTACATGAACACGCATGCTCAGGGCGCACAGGGCGGAGGCCGCTTTGTACCAAGTTGGTCACTGCACTTTCTTGATGTGTTTACGGACTTCCCGTAGTGAGGTGTTGCTTCCAGCTGTAGCGGAGGTGATTATCAAAAGTATATGTCCGACTACCAGCAGTACATGGGTGGCCAGGGAGGCTGCCACAAGGGTTCTCGGAGCTGAGGCTTTGGAATTTCATATCCAGAGCATGAGGGTTTGCAGCATAGATCTTGCATGAGGTGTTTGGTTGAGGGCGTTCCCTGGCGTGCCTGCTGGCGATTGGTTGTGCATGCAGCTTTTGAGAGGCTACCAGAAGTACATGGCCGACTTCCAGCAGTACATGAAAGGCCAAGGCCCAGAGCTCCTGTGAAAGCCGGGCGGTAAACCTGTTTAGGGGGGTTCACGGTACTGATCACCATGGTTTGGGGCTCGCAGCCTTTGCAAGTTCTTTAGACAGATGGTTCCCACGCAGGCAAAGGGGACTATCAGAAGTTCATGGCCCAGTACGCCCAGGACTTTCAAAAGTACTTGCAAGGCCAGGGAAAGAGCGCCAATGGCAATGGGGACTACCAGAAGTACATGTCCGACTTCCAGCAGTACATGAAGGGACAGGGAGGGAGCCATGGAGACTACCAGAAATACATGTCCATGTACGCAGCTGATTTCGACAAGTATCAGAAGCAGTACTCAAATGGTCAGGGAGGCAGCCTGCCTGCGGGTCAGTTCAGGATATGGGATTCTTCCCCCCTGTGTCTTCGCACACTTTTTCCAAAATGGAGACGCGCACTCACACATGTACATGCAAATAGACGCAACGTGACTCTTGCCAGCTGTTGGGGATGCTCACCGGAGCGATAGATTAGGGACAGGTTTGAAAGTAAGGCCCGGGGCATGGGCTCTTTCCTTTCAACCGAACCCCTGCAAAATCCTTCACTCCAGGCAAGCAGGGCGACTACACGCAGTTCATGGCTCAATATGGACAGGGAGCTGGTGCCCAGGGTGACTACCAGAAGTACATGTCTGGATACCAGCAGTACATGCAGGGACAGGGAGGCAACGAGGGATGCAAGAAACAAGCTCATTTCCTGTCACGCAAAACTGAAGAAGCCTGGAGATTCAATCAGAGCCCACATGATACAGTAGAAACTAGCTGAGCAACCAAACTGCTACATATCAGAGCAGGAAGTCATAGGTTTGCATTCAGTACTGGCTTTTACATTATAATGCCTGCATCAATGTATCGATTGCAGGATGTGAGCTCACATTTTGCTTTGTTTAGCAGCCCAACATGCTCGAATCGACCAAAGAACGGCAGCTTGATAGTTTACGTAGTAGTCAAACTGATCTCATTTGGCTACCCGTTCAGTGATGTGCCTTTGGTTGCCCCCAACATGGGCGATCGGCATGTTATTCTGCACGAGATGTAAGCGAGATCCAAAGTCATGTCACGACGCACTGCTGCTACTAGATGCACCTGTGAGGCCAGGGAAAAGATGCCGCTGGCAATTACCAGAAGTACATGTCTGATTTCCAGCAGTACATGAAGGGACATGGAGGCAGGCAAGGAAGGGTCGGGCAACAAAACAGGTATTGTTTAGAAGAACACAAGAGACACAACTGTTGTAAGAAGGAGTAGCAACACGTACGGCGAACGCACTTGTTTTTCTTGAGCCAAACAGTTCGGTTGTTGAGTATTCGGTCTGTCCTCACCTGGCACCTGATACGCATCTGGGAAACATGCCCGAGGAACGTGTTTTCTTAGCTCCCCCCTCTAGGACATGTACGAACACTCATCCGAGCCTGTACAGACCATTGTATGTACAACAGTCTACGGCTACTAGAGTTTAAGGCCTAGTTCGCGCAACAGGCGACAGTCATCACGACTGATATTGATTGCATCTTTTTTGACGAATGCAACTGCAGTGAATCTTGTACTATGATTGCTGGTGGCACTGGATGCATGCCAACGCCTTGGATCAAACCGTGCAGGACTCTTTAAGAGAAATCCCTGCAAGTGGACGCCTGGTACTGGGCAGAGGGAGTCTCCATCACGATCCTCAACCCACAGCCGCGGTTCTGTGCACGGCGTCAAACTCACAAGTAAGTTCTTACAATCTGGTGCGTTGTGCGAATCCCTGTGCAGCGGTGCCATGACACCTTCCTGTACTATGACGGTGGTAAACGAATGCGAAGGCATTAGCTGTCGAAAGAACCTAGTGATTACGGCAGTTGATTTCGGAAATATCTGCGTCAAGCTTCTTACACTTATGATACTTCGGTGGGCGAAGGCACCCCCGCTGCGAAAGAACGCACGTCATCTGCAGCTCGCGGCAGATAGGACAGCAGCTGCACGGTGGCTGCCACCAAACGCTTCAGCACAGGCAACAGTGTCTGCTAAGATGATGAGAGCTTTGTCCTCCTGGAGACCAACCAGTCGTGCACAGCTTCGCAAACCGTAGGATACCCGTCTGCTTTATGCATAAACGGTCTCTGTGCTAATGGTGGTGCTTGAGGCCACTCAGCGGGTCCGCGAAGCGGAAACCACGGGACGGGTACCTTCTTTAATCTTCGTCTAAACCACCGGCGAAGCGTAAGAAGTTCTTGCACCCTCTCTCCGTCCTGCCTACATTTTTTTTTTTTCTCAAGGCCGTTGCAAGCCTAGTCCAAAGGTTTAATGGCTGACTGATGAGTGCGCGGGTCAATTGTCTCGCGTGCAGACACTTAACAAAACGTATCCACTGATTGAAGTGCGTAATGAGTTTGAATATGTAACTCAACCCGGTGACTTGGCTCTAGCACAACACGGGGAGTATCATTACAGGGCGGGTCAGCTGTTTTGACCTAGTCAGTGCGATTCCAATCTCAACACCAAAAGACGGTGGAGAAAACACGGAAGGTTATGACTCAGGTAGAGGCTCTAGAGCCACCTAGCCACAGCACAAATGAAGTAACTCAAAGTTGAGGCTGTTAACCAGAAGAACACAAGAGACACAAGTGTTCTAACAAGGAGTTGCAAGAAAAGCGAACGCACGCATTTTTTTTGAGCCAAACTGTTCGGTTGTTGAGTCTTCGGTCTGTCCTAACCTGACACCTGATACGCATCTAGGAAACATGCCCGGAGAACGTGTTTGCTTAGCTTTTTGCTTGACTTCACGGGCATGCGCAGGAGGGTGCATGAGCAGAGCCTCAGGGTAGTGAACTGCTGGGAGGTGACGAGCGTAGCAGTCCAGCGAACCACGCAGAATTGTGCACGATCGCAGCATTTGTGATTAGTCATGTGAGTGCAGGGGCTTCAGGGCACAGGGCATGGTACATGGCAGAAGCATGGGAACAAACTTTTTC